TGAAATGGGTATAGGAATATGCTAAAACCAAGTCCTGTATAAATGGGTTTAACGAAATTGCTTGATTGGGAATTTCATGGATAACGTGATAATTTGGGCATGTTATGTGTTTACATTTATATCTTAAAGGTGTTTGATGAAATGCTTATGTAGATTAAGTGTGTTAATTACATTGATTGTGTTATAACATGCTTGAGATTGATGTTGGGAAATGTTGGTATATGCCTTATGATATATTAACTTTAAGGACTTGGAAATGTTGATGGATATTGAAGTTATTTATAATGTGCTCATAAAATATTGAACATGTTATTAGAATTGCAATTGTGCATTACATTGCATATACACGGGAAGCATTGCGTTTTTGGGCATGTGACATGAGTGCGAGTGTGTGTGCATGTTTTTGATCGAATATCATTCTTGGTGGTTGGTACTTGGGCTCAGTAAAGTTGGACGTAGGTTCAACTGAGTCATACGGGTTGTATTGAAAACAAGGTCGGGTGTTATAAGAAGGGATAGATCATCTCTTGGGTGCAAAGCCCGGTTACTTGGTTTACCTACTTGCCCTATTATGGAAAATTTTGTAGGCGTACGCGGAGCCTGGGGTGAGATGTTCTCGAAATGTCGTGTGGGCTAGTATTCCCTTGGTGGAATATCCATAAAAAATCCACTCAAGAAAGACCCGAGATTTTGAAATTGGATATTGGATGCGCAGTATCAATGGCGATGGATTGGACTATCCAGATTCATATGCATGACATTGCATGTGTTATGGAAGCCGATGGAGAGCTCGAGTTGCATTGCATGTGTGAGTCTCATCTCATAACATGACATAACATTGTGGCATTCATCGTTGAATTGTATATTTTTGAATGGATGATTGCTAATTGTTGAATTGTATGTGAACATTTCATACGCATCTGGATTGGGAAGTAATCTCCTTAGGAGATACCCTATTGAATGTGACTCACCTTTTATGGGAATAATATTTCAAATGTAGGACAAATGTCGATTGATGGTCCTCACATGGGACATTGTTGAGAAGAAGCCGGAATGTGGCTTTGCAATTGCTTTTTTTTTTTTGTAAAACAATTGTGTAATTGGACTAAACTTGTAAATTGTATTAAAGGGGCATGTAAGGAACTCTTATGAACTATATTTTGGTTGTAAAAGTGTGTTATGTGAGTTTGGATTAATGATGTATGAGATTGGATGAATTAAAGTTGAAGATTGGAAAGGATTGGGGGAAAAATGGGCCCAGGTACCAGTACTACATTGATAGATGGCACCGGTACAAATACCTAGACTCATGGGTACTAGTATATGGATTTCAATGGGCTCAGGAATCGGTACCATGGCTTCAGGTACCGGTACCTCAATGGATAGTGAGTTCGGGTACCGGTACCATAGGAAGGTTCTGGTAACTAACAAATAGTAGGCTCAGGTACTGGTACCCTATTACGTAGGTGCCGATACCTAACAACTGGAAAGAACCTTGTAAACAGAAGGCTCCATTATCGGTACCACGTGAGAGAGGTACCGATACTTCTTCCAAGATTTTTAAAATTAAAATATAACTTTGCTAAGCCTTTGGGCCTTGAAGCTTCTTGTTTAAAGGACATAATTGGTACAATATTAAGTGTAAATTGATGTACAAGTTAGGCTGTTAGTGGACCACTTCTTTACTCTGAATACCTAAGAACAAACAACTAGAGGGGGGGATGAGCAAACCACATGCACAGTGAATATATTCGAAATTTACAGAAAGAAAACACATGAGCACATTATAATTATAATCGTAACTTACATACACAATAAAAATTTAATTTAGTATTAAATAACTAACTTCCAATAACTAACATCCAATACCTAACACCCACTATCCTTAATTAAATATCCAATTCCTGGCTATTTAATAATGTCTTGTAGTCTTGACAATCTCATCGCTACTCGTTTATACCCAATAGTCTCGACAACCATATCGCTACCTGTATATGCCAAGTAATCTCGGCTACTATAATGCTACCTATATATACTCGGGAGTCTCGGCTATTATATTACTACCGTTTACGTCCAGTAGTCTCAACAATCACATACTATTAAGCACTCACAATCAATTCAAGTACTTGAAAACACACTTAACACCAATCCACAAGCCTTAAGTCATTGAGTCACAATCATGCCTTACACAAATACAAATAACTAATAACAAAAAATCACCATTTCACAATTCATAATCTATCAAATTGATTCTCATAATAAAACTTAAGCTCATAACCAATTACCAATTCGCATTCATTCCCCCATTATATCACTACTCACAAATTATAATCCACTACACCACATTCCAGCTAGTACACATAGTATAGTGTAAGCAATCAATCACATTTCTAATCAGTATGATTCAATATACTCACCTCACGTTGCATACAAACCCAGATTCAGTTTTCCTATAACATTATTAGATGAACCCGATGCTGACGTCGTCGCTTCAGTACCTAACATACGTTGATTATACAATCAAACACATTAACTTCCACGTCCACATTTTATGGCTAGGTTGACCGACCCATAATCTCCTAGATAAAACTCTTCATGAAGTTTGAATTACATGGTGAAACGTATGTCTTCTTAGAGTAGGTATTCCAATCTTTGCAACCATTGATCATTAGCTAAGATTGGATTCACGTGTGAAAAAATATCTCATTTTTCCTGAAAAATACTAAACTGGCTGCTTGCTTTATAATTGCAGAATTTCAGTCCATTTCAAACGATCACCATTTTTCACACAAATAGAATTAGGTGTTGGACTCTATATGGTTAGAAAGAATTTTGAGTCTAGGTTCTAACAAAAAAAAATGGTGCATCAATCAGAATTTTTTAGAGAGATTTATCGCGATTCTTCCACGAACACTCAAGTTGAACTGCTTGAACCGATTCAAGCTCAACCGGTTCATCAAAGAAGATTTCTCCTTTTAGCCGGTTGAACATTTATTCAACTGGTTCATTAGAGATTCTGCAACTTCTTCAACCAATTGATTGATTATAGAACTTGTTAATCATTAGGTTTTTGCTATGTATCAGTTACTGACTTCATCTTCAACCTCCTCTCTCAAACCCCAACACCCATAAGCTTATATACCAACAATTTAAACTTTACATAACATGAAATTCTTATCAATAACATGATCCAATACAAAGAATCCATAAACCAACGAATAAGTACAAATATTTAATGAAGTAAATTAACTTGCCCGCAAATACTCTTTCTAACCAAAACCCACCAAAAATCGGAGGTAGCAACCAAACTCAGCTTCTCTCCCCCTTTCTCTACACCTCTCTCTCCCCTTCCCTTTTCTTCTCTTTTCACTCCCCTTCTCTTTCTTTGTCTCTCACACTCTCTAGGACTTATGTTAAACACACACATGCACATATACATTTATATATATACATATACGCATATATACATATATGCACATACACATAATAACGAAATAAGGCTAAGGGAGAGACGGGTGTCTCGCCGCTTTCTTTAGCCTAATTACACTTAGGTAACCCTTAGTTCCCCTAATTCACACGTACCCATGAAAATTTTCATTTCTTCTTAAATTACACCCATGATATTCTCCCTTTTTATGATTTAACATCCAAACAAAAATTATACCACAAAATTCAACCCTTAGGGTTATAATTCAAAATATTTCCCCACTGCCATAGCTCTTGGAACTATAATTTAACCCCCCAAATTAATTATTCTAAGTTTTGCATTAGCCCCTACTATTTAATAAAATTTCATGCAATGCAAATATGAGTCTCATAGTTGGGGTCGAACCAAAGATGCGCTCTTCAGCTCATACTTGAGATAAGCTTTTCAGCTCGTACTAAAGACGAGCTCTTCAGCTCATGCTTAAGATGAGATTTTTAGATTATAAAACTTTTCCGTTTATGCTAAAGATGAGCTCTTCAACTCATACTTGAGATAAGCTTTTCAACTTATAAAGACTTTTCGCTCGTGCTAAAGATGAGCTCTTTAGCTTATACTTGAGACAAGGTTTCCAACTCATGCTAAAGATGAGCTCTTTGGCTCATGCTTGAGATAAGCTTTTCAACTTATAGAGCATTTTAGCTTGTGATGAAGTTGAGCTTTTTAGCTCTTACTTAAGATAAGATTTTTAGCTTATAAAGTTTCCAGCTCTCAGAAAGCCTATCCAAATTCTAAGCCACCAAGTTCGGGGGCCACCTAGAGTTGAGACTTAGTGATTAGAATCATAAAGGTTATCACTACTATAAGGCATTTGCCTTGCAACAAATAAAGAGGGTAGGGATGTATAAATACTTCTTGCTCAAAGACAAAAGGAAAAGAAATTCAAGTTCCATTGCAAAAAAAAGAAAATGAGAAAAGAGTTACAAGAATAAGAGAAAAAGCTACAAGTTCTAGAATAAGGAAAACATGAAAATTCTTCTAAGTTTGGCCCATCAACTTGCTAATTCAACTCCCCCAAGTTGTTGCTTAGACCCTTCAAGTACAGCAAGAGCAATTGAGTTATCAAGAGGTTTTTCAGCACCAGAGGCCTACCTCTTTCTAGCCTCATCAACCAGCCCTATAGGCAGAGTTGGAACAAAAGAATAGAAGTCCAAATCAGGGATCTTCTCTATGGCTTGCTCTCTAAAGTCCTTGTAGTCATCGACGTAGTTATTAGTTATTAGCCCTCTCGACCCTTAGATCTTTAATTGTCTAATTCTATGACTTCAGGGTAAACTTCAATCCCTCAAGCTCAAGCTCTATCTTTAGCTTGGCTACATCCTGATCCTTTGTCTTCAAGGGTAGACTTCAAATCCTCAAGCTCTAATTTTAGCTCAGATGCCTCTTGCTCAGATCTCTCGTTCTCAAACTTGGTGAAGTCCAAAACACCAACTATGTAGCCTAAGTCTATCTCGTTTTCCTTCATCTTATCCTCTAGAGTCCTCTCCAAAGACTTCAGTAAAGTAATCTAGAAAGTCTACTCCTCCACCTTTTCATGTACAGTGGCCAAGCCAGATAGTCGATCATCAACCACTTGTTCAGCCCTATAAACTCGCCCTAAGAGGGCACTAACATGAACAATAGACTGCAAGAGATAAAACACAAAATAAGAGAGCAATAAATGAGAGAAAGGGGAAAGAGCTTGAAAGAAAATAAACTTAGAGGTAATATCACTATAAGACTGAGAAAGGCATTCACAACCTTGCCATTAGCATTAAGAGCAGTTGGCCCCTGGATGTCTATCGTGGTAAGATACTCAACAGCTTGGCAGCTACCAAGCTAGTGTTACTTAGGAGAGAGCCCTCATCTGTAGCAGGAAGTGATGAGGTCGGCTTCAGGGAAATAGCTAGAATAACCTCCAAGGTTGAGGTTGGCAGAGGTGGAGGAGCACTAAACTCCTTAGAAGTTGCCCGAGAAGGATCAGCAGTAGGTAAACCTCCTTCATTAGTCGAAAATAACCTTGGAGCTTGGTGGTGGTACAAGTAGAGGAGCATTGAGCTCCTTGGAAGCTAATAAACATCCTTTAATGATCGAAGTGACATCGGGGGTCTGATCTCCCTTAAGAGGTTTGGGAGTTTCCTTCCCCTTAATCATAGGGATCTTAAACCTAGTGTTGAGGTGAGACTTAGGGTGGAAGGGCTTGGTCAGATGCTTCTTTTTCTCCCTCCTCTTTATGAGTTATTGAACTTTGTCCCAGTTAGGTGCCATGGGATCAATATCTACAAAGGATGAGAGATACAATCAGAAAAGTACGAGGAAAAATAGAAACCAAAATGAAGAATAAGCCAAGTGTTGTGCTCAACCATGGAAGGAGCTCAGCCTATGTCGTTCTTTCTCCAGAATACTAGAAGATCGACCAATGTCCCCCAAAATTTAGGAGACATCCTCGAGGGAGCAGATGTTGAAATAAAAAAGGACACTCTTTAGAGAGGAATGCAAGGAAAATCTGACACTTGACTCGAAGGCCAGAATGAAGAAGAAAGTCTTTCCAATTAGATAGATGTCATAACAACCAATATCCGAGGGGGCATAAGTTATAATGCCAACAAGAAATTGGTAGTAACTAATCAGCAATTGGAGCCTATGCTCAGTAAAATGGCTCTAGGGTAATGGCATGAAGGACCCTTGCAAATCTCCAGATCTGCTCGATGTGTTGGCCTTGCCTGCAGGGGAAGTTTGGGAAAACTTGGAACCTAAGGGAGAAACTCAAGAAGGTTGGTAACCATTTTCTTGGGTGCCCTCTTTCTCTTGCCCTGACCAAAAGCCCTTTCCTCGGGTACATTTGCAAGGAGAAGAGAGGGAACCCTGTGTTGAGTCAAACTCCTCACTTGAGGGAGAATAAGCAAAGGATTCTCATCCTCTTCCAGTTCAACCATTTCCCTCTAAGGAGAAGACTCAACCTCAGGGTCCTTGTTCCTGTCCCCTTATATATGGGAGATGGAAGTCCCAATAGTTTCATAAAAAGTTCTAGACATTACTAAAGTCGGGGGTATGAAATAACCTAGCCTAGAATAAAAGTAAGGGGATATACCCAAAGAACAATCCTCAATAGCACGAGGGTCTCAACACTAATGACAAAGGCAAGAAACCCTAGCTATGGTGAAGGGATCTAAGAAGAGAAGGGGAGCTACTAACTACCTACTGAGACCCCTAAAGAATCAAAAGCAAAGAAATAAGAAGTGAATTCCCTGAGATCACCACTAAGGATCAAAGCGATCCAGGCTTGCTACAAGGAAGATGTACCTAGAAGACGAAGATGGAAGGTAAAAGGCAAAGAACTTAGATATGAACTAGACAAGCACTAGAGGACTTTGGCCCGAAATCTCCTGGGCTACTTGAATCTCCAAATCGATTCCTTTCAAACCTCACATGAACGTAGGGAATTACAAGTAGTCTAGAAATTAAATTGAAGGGCGGTTTAAATAGGAAAAAATTTTGGTGATTTTCTCTCTTTGTACACATTAAATGAGTCTGCATGCCACTCCACATGGCACGATATAATTGGGATGACCCATATTATGAGGCATTTCCTATGCCCCACACACACCTACACGACGTTGTATTCCCACGAAACCGTCCTATCACATCTTTTCAACTATCCTAAGCTGGCTTTGAAGCAAAACGATGCCTCAGGGAGACGAAGAGCTCAGTCCCGAGCTATACCCAAGGCAGGCAGGCCGAGCTCAGGACTTGGGGGAAACTAATGATATCCAAAAATGGCTTCAATAATAAATCAAAGGTTATCAAGGTAACGGGTTCTAAAAAGATCCAACAGATAAGATCTAACCCTTGACCTTATGGCTATACGCCCATCCTTATACGAAAGCCAAGGTTGTTTGCAGGCATCCTCAATATAGGAGTCTAGGTCGCCCTACACCTCGAAGGGAATCATAATCTCTAGCTTAGGATAGGTGTTTGGACCGAGCTCATTTACTTACAAGCTAACAAAAAGAACAAGAGGTTGTCCCAAAGTAGAACAACCTCACAGCAGACTCTTCCAGAAATAAGGAGAACCATAATACATCTAGCTTGAAGACAAGTCACAAGGCCACCTTAGCATTTTCTAGAAGGCCACAACACACCTAGATATTGTAGCCTCTAATGGCTGAATATTCCCTCAACAAAATCCTAACATACTTGGGACCATGTGATGATGAAATAGGGACCACCCCACTTATGGGTCTAAATACAAGGGCCTTCTCCATGTAAAGGCATCTAGAAAAATCCAACGAACTTGGCAAATTGTAACACTATCTTCCTTTCTAAGCAATATACAATTTTTGCAAGAAGAAAGAGACTCCATTAAAGTGGGTTAGCTAAGCTTTTCAACTGGTGAACCTCTATAATCTATGTGTTCTTACTCTTTCTAGCTCGTACTATAAACACTGGTTTCATTGTAGCATAGGGTAGAGCTACCAAGCTCCATCTCGAATCTTTTTTTTTCCACTAAATCACTTGCATATTGCTGTTCACAAGCCTTGAGCTCTTCAACTTAAGCATTCCCCTCACTTTTTGAATTCATACATCATCAATTTTCAATCTTTGAGGTTACAATATGAAATCTAGATGATAAAAACCTTCTGGTGCCCAAATGAAGTCAAAATTTTGGATTGGATGCCAAAACCACAACGGCCACCTTTTAGGCACTTTCAAAGTGCTCAAGCAACTATCAAGGTTTAATTAGAAAGCATTAAGCAATCCTAGAGGCCAGAGCTTGGTTGACGCTTGTTAGGCGCTCAAGTAGCATTGTTATTTTGGATTTGAATTGTAGCCTAGAGACTGATGCTTGCTAGACATAGGCTGAGTGCTCAAGTAGCATATGGGATTAAAATAGATAAACAAAGACTCTTCTAAGCCACATAGAACAAAAACTAGCTTGTCCAAAGAAAAAATGGAAGAGAACAACACTAAAGAGATTTAGTCAAATCAAAGCATGATATTATCCCTAAATTGAGAGTTTATTGTGAGAACACTCTAGTTTACCATGACTAAACCTTCAAAGATTGTTTTATGCTTTGGAGAAGTTTGGCAACATCACCTCTAGGTGGATTTGATTGACTGGAGTTGGTATCAATCTACAAGTTGATTGGTTAGTGGATTGTGGTCACTAGCGATATCAAAGATACCTTAGAGTTCATTAGCTGGTCAAGATGAGGTAAGCTACAACTAGTGGAATTCAGAGTTGGTATAAGTCTTTTTGAGTCTTGTACATTTCGAATTGAGATTTTGACTATACCCAGCCCCCACCCAAACTTATATCCCAAACCCAGTTAGTTTTAACCTTATTTCCTAAACCTAGTCTTTTTCTAAAAAACGTCATTCTAAATGACGCCATCATAGTTTAAAACGTCATTCATAATGACATTTTTAAACTGGACAAAATTGACAGATCTGTATAAATTCACTTATCAAATCGTGACATTTTTAAAGGCGTCATTTGTAATGAGTTCTTTAAATCGTTATTTTTTACGGTTTCCTTACAGAGTTAGGTCATTGTAAAAAACATAATTCTAAATGACGTCTTCAAAAATGTTTAAATGATAACATCATTTGAAATGACAATTTGGGTGAATAAAGTCAAATTGAACTTCCTAGATCGCAGAAGCCCCAACTTCATAAAATCAAAAATTTCCCAAATCACTCCACTCCCATCCATCTCATCTCCGATGACCATCTCAGCTTAGGCAACCCATCCATCTCAAGCGACCCAACTATCCTCGGTGACCAAGCATACTTCGGCTACCCAGCCCAAGCAGGTAACCATCTCCTCAGTTGAGTAATCTATTCTCTCTTTCATCTCAGGTGACCCAACCATCTCTGGTGACGCAGCTAAGTCCAGCCATCTCTGTCTATACACTAGAATTTTTTAACTCCTTGCTTGATATTTTGTTCACTCTCTCTCTCTCTCTGTGTGCACATATATACATGTATATCTTTACTTTTTACAAAAAAATGCACACATTGAAATCCATTTGTTTCACAACCCTCTTCTAGTGTCCTAGGATTTACTCTATTAGTCATGTTTCATGGAGCTTATTGTTGATTGTTTATCCTATACATAAATTTTAACACTTTATTGTTTTCCTAAATCTAAAGCTACTTTTAAATGAAGACTGTCACTCAAAATTATCTTATGATTGAATAATACCTAAAAATTTTGACTTAATTTTTTGATCTAATTATATATTAATTGATGTAACTTTGAATCCACTGATACCTTGAATGTTTCCTAGAAAATAGAAATCCAAAAATTATATTTCAACAGTTTTAATGATGAAATTAACCTAACCTAACCTCCCTACCTTAGTGTTAGTTGGGGTAAAAATATAGATAATTGAAGTTATACGCTTAAACAACGTCTAATGTTATTTTTGATGTCTTTATTGTAGAATTGTTAAAATTGGATGGAAGACGTGGTAATATTATTAATAAAGATAATCGTGTAGGGTACAATGTTGGTCCTAAGCGTGTGATAAAGCTAGCTCATGACATAAGTCACTCGGCTTTGGTGGATAGGTTGCATGATGTGATGGGGATACATAGAAATAAATACAACCTTAAGCTCATCGGTAGATTTCCTGCTGCATTAGGAACTAAACTTGTTACACAATATATGGAATTAGAACTTGTTGACAACGATGGTGTGGAGGCAATGTTGGATGTTGTATTTGACAATAATGTGTCAACTGTGTGGATTTGTATATGAGTAAAGATGTTAGGTGCGATGACATTGGTGGAAGTCATGAAGGTTGGTCTAATGTTGGTCCATACTCTTCACTTTTCACACAACAATCGTATATCCCAATAGTTGGTCCTTCAACAATAAAGGATGATTATTACACCCCTGAAATCTTGCAGTCTTCCCATTCAAGCACTACTTGTAGGTCCCTATCCCTACAACTACTAAACATTGTGTATGGAAGAGTACAATTGATATACACCTGCACAATTAAAAATAGGGCCCAACACTTTTCCTAAAAGCTCATCTCAGCAA